TGCCATAGTGGTTTGCTGCATCTATCACCCCATCATCTATGTTAGGTATTTCTGCTAATGCTATCCTTCCCCTAACCCCCCACCCCCTACTATCCTTCCCCTAGCCCCCACCCCGTGACAGGCCCCAGTGGGTGATGTTCCCCTCCCTGTGTGCATGTGTTCTCATTGTTCAACACCCACTTAGGAGTGAAAACATGCGGTGTTCAATTTTCTGTTCTTGTGTCAATTTGCTGAGAAGGATGGTTTCCAGCTTCATCCGTGTCCTGCAAAGGACATGAACTTATCCTTTTTTATGGCTGCATAGTATTCCATGGTGTATATGTGCCACATTTCCTTTATCCATTGTATCATCAGTGGGCATTTGGGTTGGTTCCAAGTCTTTGCTGTTGTGAACAGTGCAGCAGTAAACATATGTGTGCATGTGCCTTTATAATAGAATGATTTATAATCCTTTGGGTATATACCCAGTAGTGGGATTGCTAGGTCAAATGGTATTTCTAGTTCTAGATCCTTGAGGAATCGCTACACTACCTTCCACAATGGTTGAACTAATTTACACTCCCACCAACAGTGGAAAAGTGTTCCTATTTCTCTACATCCTCTCCAGCATCTGTTGTCTCCTGATTTTTTTTTTTTTTTTTTTGAGACGGAGTTTCGCTTTTGTTACCCAGGCTGGAGTGCAATGGTGCGATCTCGGCTTACCGCAAGCTCTGCCTCCCGGGTTGAGGCAATTCCCCTGCCTCAGCTTCCTGAGTAGCTGGGATTACAGGCACGCGCCACCATGCCCGGCTGATTTTTTGTATTTTTAGTAGAGACGGGGTTTCACTATGTTGACCAGGATGGTCTTGATCCCTTGACTTTGTGATCCACCCGCCTCGGCCTCCCACAATGCTGGGATTACAGGCTTGAGCCACCGTGCCCGGCCCCTGATTTTTTTAATGATCACCATTCTAACTGGCGTGAGATAGTATCTCAATGTGGTTTTGATTTGCATTTCTCTAATGACCAGTGATGATGAGCTTTTTTTCATGTTTGTTGGCTGTGTAAATGTCTTCTTTTGAGAAGTGTCTGTTCATATCCTTTGCCTACTTTTTGATGGGTCATTTGTTTTTTTCTTGTAAATTTGTTTAAGCTCTTTGTAGATTCTGGATATTAGCCTTATGTCAGATTGGTAGATTGTAAACATTTTTCCCATTCTGTTGGTTGCTGGTTCACTCTAATGATAGTTTCTTTTGCTATGCAGAAGCTCTTTAATTAGATCCCAGTTGTCTATTTTGGCTTTTGTTGCCATTGCTTTTGTAATTTATAGATTCAGTGCTATCCCCATCAAGCTACCATTGACTTTCTTCACAGAATTGGAAAAAGCACCTTTAACTTCATATGGAACCAAAAAAGAGTCTGCATAGCCAAGACAATCCTAAGCAAAAATAAATAAATAAATAAAATAAAATAAAATAAAAAGCTAGAGGCATCACGCTACCTGACTTCAAACTATGCTACAAGGCTACAGTAATCAAAACAGTGTGGCACTGGTACCAAAACAGAGATATAGACCAACGGAACAGAACAGAGTCTTCAGAATGCCACACATCTACAATCATCTAATCTTTGGCAAACCTGACAAAAATAAGCAATGGAGGAAGGATTCCTCATTTGATAAATAGTGTTGGGAAAACTGGCTAGCCTTATGCAGAAAGCTGAAACTGGATCCCTTCCTTATACCTTATATAAAAAATTAACTCCAGATGGATTACAGATTTAAGCATAAGACCTAACACCATAAAAACCCTAGAAGAAGAAAACCTAGGCAAAACCGTTCAGGACATAGGCATGGGCAAGGACTTCATGACTAAAACACCAAAAGTTTTGGTATTATTCTTACTATAGTTCTTTTAATTTTCTTCTTGTGGAATTATTTTACTTAGATTGCTTCTTTCAGATATGATCTCCGTATTTCTCTTTCCTCAGCCTTTATATTTCTTAATCCTTTTATTTTTTCTGGGAAAAGTTTTTGAATTTTCAATCTTTAAAAAATTTTTTTTTTAGTTACTGAAGTATCTAATCTGCTGGCCAGTTCTGTTGTTGTTTTCATGTTTTGTTTCCTCTGCAATTTCTCCTGTCTTAAATGATTTCTTCATCATAACTTCCTGCTCTAGTTTTTTGTTTGTTATCTTCTTTTGGATTTTCCTGAGGACATCAATTAGAAATTTTATAAACATGTTTTCCTGTATCTACAGTAAATCTGTTTCAGAAGAAGTTTGCATTAATTGATGCTAGTAGCCATAATTTGAATTATGGTGTTTTTTTGGATGTGAAGTTTGTTTTCGGCTCATTTTTATAGTGGAAGGTCTCTGCCATCTCAATATTAGTCTTAGCATAATGTAGAATTTGAGATGTTTTATAACAAAGATAGATGTGGGTCATATTAAATTTTTGATTTAAGAAAAATGAAAGGTGATGATATTTCTTGAAGCTGCAGGAATGACTGATCTGGGAGTCATAATATCATAAAAGAGAACATAAGTGATAAACATTAATATTTACTTAGCTTTTTAAAATGTGCCAGGCACTGTGCTTAGTGATTTACATATGAATTATATCCTTTATTCTTTCTCAACAACTCTTGGTAGATACTATTTTTCCTATTTTAAACTTAATGAAGTTGAGTTTTAGAGATTTACTCACCTGAGGTCATAAGGCTCGTAAATAGTAGAGCCAGGATTAAACTCAACTGTGTCTGTTGAGATCGAAATAGTTAGGCTTTAATGGCCTCTCTTGTCAATATCTCAAAGGGCTTGAACTCTAATAAGTAGGTTTAGTTCCAAAGTGATACACTGCCTGATATTCATGATGGTCAGTGAAAGATGTGTTTAGATCCTTCTGGTGAAAGGAGCCACCAAGTTTCCACGTAATATGCTTGGAAAACCACAGAATTTGTTTCCTTAATTTTGGTCATTCACAACCCCTCTGTCGCACTGCTTGATTTTCTGTTTCTTTTTTTTTCTCTTTTTTTTAAATAGAGACGGGGTTTCTTCATGTTGGTCAGGCTAGTCTCGAACTGCTGACCTCAGGTGATCCACCTATCTCAGCTTTCCAAAGTGCTGGGATTAAGGTCGTGAGCCACCGCGCCTGGCCCTTGATTCTCTATTTCTTAAGCTCAGCACAATACATCTGATCTCTTGCTTTTTAAAAAATCTGTTGTGGTCTGTGTTTAATATGTAGACATTCTTGGAGTTCTGGGCATGTAGCTGGCACCCCGTTGTATATGAATGTTTTTTCAGAGTCAACCATGGTTCTTATTACAGACAATGGACCAAATAATTATTGGCTGTATGAATGTTATATGAATTAAATTAGATAAGGAGATTACATAGCGTAGTTCTTTAAAATGGCATATTTAAAGTAGTTGGGTAGATATATCATGATCAGCTAGAAACCTTTTTTGAAACAAAGGTGCTTATTATGACTTAACACTATTCTAAATTGATTATATTTGGAGACTATAACAGTGATTGAATAGTTCTTGGTAAATAATTTTTACTTTTCTTGATTTTTAAATATTCATGCTGTAATGATCCCAATGTCCAAATCCATGTTATATGTGATTTAGATCTTGCTTATACAGAGAAAGGCTATCAGGAGTTTCTTGAGGTAACAAATACATTATTGTCTAGTTCATTTTGGAGTTAGTTACTATACTAAACCAGCCTCACAATGACTTTGCAGATTTGTGGTATTACTTTTGGCTTTTAGAGTGAGAAAGATGTACAGTAGATAATCCCTAAATTCAGGGAGTTGACTTAATGAGAGTAAATTGAGAATGGGTGAATTTTTAAGCTCTTTGGATTGTGGGTTAGTATTTTGATTTATTTGATTTAAGATGATTCTTGAGGTTAGATGAAAATAAGTCTTTCCAAAATGAAAATATCTGTTGTAATCAAATGAGGATTTTCTCATCAGCAACAGGATGTATTGCACTGTGCCAGGGAATTGATGTAAGGTAATATTTAAAAGTTCATATCACCGAGGAATATTTTAAAATTCAGTGCCTTCAATAGAAACACTTAAAATTATGGCATATGAAAATTATGGACATACCAGACCTGAATTTTATGTTAATTTACCCACTTGACCACTAGGGTCTTGGGTCATATATTTTAGTGGAGGCAGTTTTATTCAGACTTTTTTTTTTAAGACAGGGTCTCACCCTGTCACCGAGGCTGGAGTGCAGTAGTGCAATCTCTGCTCACTTCAGCCTCTGCCTCCTGGATTCAAACAATTCTGCATCAGCCTCCTGAGCAGCTGGCATTATAGGCGTATACCACCATACCTGGCTACTTTTTGTATTTTTAGTAGAGACAGGATTTCACCATGTTGGCCAGGCTGGTCTTGAACTCCTGACGGCAAGTGATCTGCCCACTTCAGCCTCCCAAAGTGCTGGGATTACAAGCGTGACGCCTGGCCCATACATTTTCAATTCCAAAACATTCTGTTTTAAAAAATCAGTTGTTTTTTCATTATTTCCTTAATAGTGCATTCCTTCATGATTTCGAAAGCCAATTCAATATCTCTAATGGTCTTTTGAAAATCTTAAATAGGGCAAATTTTATTCTGGGCTTCCATGACTCCAAAATCAGTGTTGATGGTTCCTGTATCCCCTCCCTCATGTGGTTTGGCACAATGATTCAGGGAAATAACAGTGAGGCTGGTTGAGGGAAAATTGAAAAATCCATGAAGAAGTAACAGCTATTCTTAGAATTATTGGTTCTGAAAAAATACTTTGTTAGGTTCTCTCGAGTTGTGATTATTCATAGGAAATGAATATGAGCTTTATGGTTTTAAATCCAGGTATTTCTTTAGAGAGAATAAATATTAAAGTAGTCATATACATTATTTTCATTAAGATTTGAGATTTTTGTAACAAATTAGAGTAAGAGGGAAGTAAAAATCAAATGAGCTAAAATAGGTACCTGAGATGTCTTTTTTTTTTTTTTCCCCTGTGTTAGATGGATAAGGTACCAATGCTGTAGCAAGATTTGAGGGAGGCACATCTAATACGTGTGTGAAAACCCAATTATCATGCTTATGAACTACAAAAGGATCTATATAAGTTCTTGTGTAGGTGTTAGCTAACAATCTGGTATTCCTAAAATGTGAAACACATGTATCTTACTCTTTGGCAAATTAGCTAAGTAAACTGGCATAACAGTTTCTGTTCCTGACAGTAAAATTTTATACCTTTTTGTACTTGTATCAGTCCATTAGATTACTATCTACAGTTACTTGAATGTGATTTAAACATTAAAAATAAACCTGTATATGAGTTAGTTGGATGGCTCCCGGAAAAACATGTATATACAGATATTTTTGCCGTAAACCTGTATTTTACTAGAGTAGATTTAATCAGCTAGGGAGATTGTTGAAACTGCTTCCAGAGGTGGCACAAGTTATATTTTGAAGGTTACAAATTTTGTTTTGTTTGGTTTTTGCTACTTTAGTACTTTTAAAATTTAAATTTTCTGTGCTTTTTGTTTACTTGACGTTTCTGGGATTGAGATCATGTTTGTTGCCTGCTATATTTGTTTTCTAGTCACATTGAACCTTCTTTTTCTAATAATTATGCTGCAGTATTATTTGATACATGCAATTTTAGTTATGTTCTCTTGTCCCTATTGATATTTTTCATTTATATAAATGACCTTTATAGGATAAAGTACAGTGTCTTTTATCTCAAAAAAAGATGAAAAATTTTTTCAATGTGTCCCCATTTGGTTCCAGTTATCCACATCTGAAATCACTGTGGCTTTGCCTTTTTAAGCAAGTTTCTTTTCTTGTCCCTGCAGTAGCAACCACCAGGGCCATCATTTAACATGTCCCTTTTTTTCATTCAGAAAGAGGCGTTCACTTTGGTCATTAATTTTTTGTTTTAGTCTGTTCCTATCATTATGATAGTTTATAGAAACTATACTTTTTAAATTTTAGTTCTAATTTTTTTGTTGTTGTTGAGACAGAGTCTCACTCTGTTGCTCAGACTGATCTTGAACTCTTGGCCTCAAGCAGTAATTCTGCCACAGGCTTCCAAAGTATTGGAATTACAGATTTGAGTCACCACATCCAGTGTAGAAATGATTTTGTTTTTTTGGACGGAATCTTGCTCTGTTGCCCAGGCTGGAGTGCAATAGCACGATCTCGGCTCACTGCAACCTCTGCCTCCTAGGTTCAAGCGATTCTCTTGCCTCAGCCTCCCACGTAGCTGGGACTACCGGCACCCACCACCACACCCAACTAATTTTTGTTTTTTTTAGTAGAGATGGCGTTTTACTATGTTGGTCAGGCTGATCTTGAACTCCTGACCTCAGGTTATCTGCCCACCTAAGCCCCCCCAAGGGGCTGGGATGACAGGCATGAGACTGCATCCAGCCTAGAAACTGTTCTTCAGTTGTGACATATACTTTATTCTTTCGTCATTTATTTTATTTAGATGTCACACAATGTGCTAGATTCTAAAGGAAATGTATGCTTGTATTTTTCTTTCTTTCTTTTTTTTTTTTTTTAAATTAACTTCTTCCCATGCTATTATTACTTGGCTTTTTTTTTTTTTTTTTTTGATACAGTGTTTCACTCTTGTTGCCCAGGCTGGAGTGCAATGGCGCGAGGCGCGATCTCTGCTCGCTGCAACCTCTGCCTACCAGGTTCAAGTGATTCTCCTGCCTCAGCCTCCCGACTAGCTGAGATTACAGGCACCTGCCACCATGCCCGGCTAATTTTTGTATTTTCGGTAGAAACAGAGTTTCACTATGTTGGCCAGGTTAGTCTCGAACTCTTGATCTCAAGTGCTCCGCCTGCCTCAGTGTCCCAGAGTGCTAGGATTACAGGCATGAGCCACCGTGTCCGGCCTTACTTGGCTTTTTTATTCTTTTTATTTTGGCAAATTTGAAGCATGTACAAAACCAGGGAGACTAATGTAAATATTCCTGTGACCTTTCGCCAACTTTAGCAATTACCAAATAAGGAGCAATCTTATTTCCTCTATGCCTCCATGCCTTCCAATTCTATGTTAGATCATATGAAGCAAATCTCAGACAATTACATCATTTAATATGTAAATATTTCGGTATGTGCTACTGCAAGGACACCTTCATGACCACATCACCATCCTCAAACTCTTAAAAATGTCAATAGTAATTTCTTCAAATCATTATCTAGTGTGTGTTCTTTTTCTTGCATAAATGGGAAATTTGGAGAGGAAGTCTCAACATTTTACTCTTCCTTCTTTTAAAAATTATCTTTTGGTGTCTCATTATATCATAAACCTTCAGAAATTCAAGTGTGTACTGGTGAGTTAGTTGAAAGACACCCATCAGCGCACTTATTGTGTTCCTTCAATGGCATAGTCCTGATTGGGCTGTGGGTTACTGGGTGGCTCCTGGAGTTTCAGAAACTTTTAATTTACTTATCTTGGAATTTATTTATCCAACAAATATTCAACTGTCTGCTCTATGCCAGATGTATTTCTAGATGCTTGGGTTACATCAATGAAAAAAACAAAAGTCTTTGCCTTTGACAATGTTATATTCTAGTGAAAGACAGTAAACAGTTAATATAATACAAAAATAAATTATATGTTAGTAAATAAGTGCTCTGGCAAGGAAGAGTAGAGCTGAATAAAGGGGGAATTGGAATTTGGCGGTGGTGGGAAGCAGTATTAAATAGGGTGAGCCCGATAGGTCTCTCAAGATGATGAGATTTGAGCAAAGGTATGAATAGGACACTAAGGATGTTAGTCCAAGCAGTTATCTGGGAGAAGTGTTGGTTGTGCTGGAATACCAGAGCAAATACACCAGGCTTGTTTGGGGGAAAGCAGGGAGATCCTTGTAAATGGAGTCGAGTGAACAAGTGGGATAATTGTAGAAGATGGGTTACAGAGGTGAGGTAAAGTGGGGTCAGGAGAGTAGTGAGGTGGGGTAGGTTGTAGTACCAGGTGTGTAATGCTTTTGAAGGTCATTTGGCTTTTATTCTGAGTGAAATGGGGGAGTCATTGGAGGGTTTTGATCAGAGCAATGACAGGAACTAAATTAAAAGGATCACTCTGGCTTCTTTTTGGAAAACAGACCATAGGAGAACAAGTAAAGATTACAAGAAGGCTAGTTAAGGATGCTTTTAAAATAATACAAATAAGAGATGATAGTGGCTGGGACTGGGTTGTGGCAGTGGAGGTGGTGAGAAACAGATGATTTCTGGATATAATTTGAAGGTAGAGCCAAAGGAATTTGCTGACTGTAGTTTTAAAGTGTGTATGTGTATGTTTGAGGAAGAAGAGAAAGAGAGGAGTGGCATGACTCTAAGCTTCTTGGTCAGAGTAACTAGAAGGATGGAGTTGCTATCAATTGAGAAGAGAAAGCCTATGGGAGGTTGGTGTCAGGTTACGGGTAGGTTGGAGGTAGAAAGGTAAGTTTGTTTTTTGAATGTGTTGAGTTTGAAATGCCTATTAGATGTCTAATTTGAGAAGACTACCTTATAATTATGCCTGTCAAATTATACATTTTCAATACCACCACCATCACCAACAAACTCTTGTTAAAAGAATGAATTAACTGGATTCTGTGTAAACAGCAGTGGAGACCCTATTGCTGTAATATTTCAGTTTCTGCCCTCAGTATGGCAGCAAGTCCCTTGTGGCTTGTGACCCAGGATTTAAAGGCATGACAAATGTCAAGATGGACATGAAGATTCAGATTTAGCAGCATGAGTGTTAAAGATCAAATTGCTGATTGTATTTTGTAATGCTTTTCCTGTTTAAAACGTCTGAAAGCATTGAAAAATATCCTTTAGGTGAAATATTCAATAGAAATGGTTATGAGGCTAGTCGATTGTGTTGAAAGCATGAATAATTTGCTTTTCTAATTATGTAAAATACCTTTGGATTTTGTTTGCCTTGTGAGAGTGAAAAGTTGTAAAACATGGTAGAATAGTTCAGTACTAGAACAATTTTTCACTTTGTTTTCCAAAGTAACAATGACTCGGTTTTTATAGTAATAGTTTCCACTCAGCAAGAGCTGCTCTCTCCTTGCTTTTCTAAACACATGGCATTATATTATTTCATAGAAAGTACTTAAGAAATTTTAGGCATGTCATAGTGTTTCCTAAATATTAGCTTCTTCAGACTGTTCTATGTATTTTTATTTAAAAATTTTTTTTATTGTACTTTAGGTTCTAGATTACATGTGCAGATCATGCAGGATTGTTGCATAGGTACATACATGGCAAAGTGGTTTGCTGCCTTTATCTCCCCATCACCTATATCTAGTATTTCCCTCCCCTGGCCCCCCCAACTGTCCTCAGTGTGTGATACTCCCCTCCCTGTGTCCACATGTTCTCATTGTTCAACACCTGCTTATGAGTGAGAACATGCAGTGTTTGGTTTTCTGTTCTTGTGTCAGTTTACTGAGAAGGAAGATTCATCCATGTCCCTATGAAGGACACAAACTCATCATTTTTTATGGCTGCATAGTATTCCATGGTGTATATGTGCCACATTCTCTTTATCTAGTCTATCGTTGATGGACATTTGGGTTGGTTCCAAGTCTTTGCTATTGTAAACAGTGCCACAATGAACATACATGTGCATGTCTTTATAAAATAGAACAATTTATAATTCTTTGGGTATATACCAAGTAATGGGATTGCTGCGTCAAATGGTATTTCTGTTTCTAGGTCCTTGAGGAATTGCCACACTGTCTTCGACAATGGTTGCATGAATTTACACGCCCAACAATGTAAAAGTGTTCCTATTTTTCCACATCCTCTCCAGTTTCTGTTGTCTCCTGATGTTTTAATGATCGCCATTCTAATTGGCATGAAATGGTATCTCAGTGTGGTTTTGATTTGCATTTCTCTAATGACCAGTGATGATGAGCATTTTTTCATATGTTTGTTGGCGTCATAGATGTCTTCTTTGGAAAAGAGTCTGTTCATATCCTTTGCCCACTTTTGAATGAGTTTGTTTTTTTCTTATAAATCTGTTTTAGTTCTTTGTGGATTGTGGATATTAGCCCTTTGTCAGATGGGTAGATTGCAAAATTTTTTTTTCCCATTCTGTTGG